AAAAGTCAAACTCTTGGCAGCAGAGAGTAGCATGGTGGGTACCACAGGCTGGAGGATGGAGCAGGAAAATGAGATGTTGGTCAAAGGGTGCAAAAATTCAGTCAGCTAGGAAGAAAATTTCTGGAGCTTGATTGTACCGTATGATGACTATAGTTAATCATTTGCCACTTAAAAATTCCTTAGCTGTGGTGGCTCACATCAGGTCTATAATCCCAGCACTTTGGGAGGCTGAGGTAAAAGAATCACTTGAGTCTAGGAGTTCCAGCCTGGACAACATAGCAAGATTCCATCTCTACAAAAAGTAAAAAATTTAAAAAGAAAGTAAAAAATTAGTCAGTTATGGTTGTGTGTGCCTGTAATGCCAGCCACCCAGGAGGATTCCTTAAACCCAGAAGTTCCAGGCTGCAGTGAGCTATGATCACACCACTGCACTTCAGCCTGGGCAACAGAGTGAGACCCTGTCTCAACAATAGTAACAATAATCATTCAAAGAAGTTAGAAGAGAAAATATTGGCAGAAGAGTGAATATACATGCCTTCTATTTTACAGTAAGAAGGTACAAAAACATTCCCCAGACATAATATCCACTTCCATAATACATTCAGGCAATGGTGATACAACCATCTCACATAAAGTTGGTTCAAACAGTAATTTTCAAATACTCACCATAATCCCATCAACCATTGTATTTCCGTATCCTCCCAATCTAACTATAGCCCGTTAGGACTCCATTACCAGGTCTTGGAACCAGAGTACATGAGGCTCCCATGTCAAGAGTCCCAGAAATGTCTTTTCTCTACCTCCTGACCATTTTATCTCTCATGTGAATATGGTCTTGTGTGACCAGCCAGAGGTTAGGCAAAGGGACCCCAGTATCTCTTGTCAGCCCTTATCTTCCTTAGACAGCCCCAGATGTCTATGTGGATAACAATGGCATCTATGTCAAGGTTTTCTTATGAAGAGTCAATGCATTATAGCCATAAAGTGCCTCAAACAGTGAATGACACAGCATAATCTCTCAATAAACTTTGTTTTGGTTGCTCAAATTATTAATATTTATACACTTCTAACAATATATCAAATATGGCCAGGTGTGGTGGGCACTCCAGCTGGGGCAACAAAGCAAGATTCTGTTCAAATAACAATAATAAAATAATAAAAACTGAGGCGAGTGGAAGAAGTGTTTCTGATCCCACATAAGTATAATCCCTGTTTCCACCGCAGCCATGCTAGTATCACTTCCTATATGCATTTCTGCTGGTACTGAGTGACTTTAATTTTATTTTATTTTTGAGACAAAGTCTTGCTCTGTCACCTAGGCTGGAGTCCAATGGCATGATCTCGGCTCGCTACAACCTCCACCTCCCGGGTTCAAGCAATTCATCTGGCTCAGCCTCCCGAGTATCTGGGATTACAGGAATGCACCACCATGCCCAGCTTATTTTTGTATTTTTTAGTAGAGACAGGGTTTCACCATCTTGGCCAGGCTGGTCTTGAACTCCTGACCTAGTGATCCACCTGCCTTGGGCTTCCAAAGTGCTGGGATTACAGGCATGAGCCACCATGCCTGGCTGAGCGGCTTTAATTTACAGCCAATGTTGATCATTTATCTGCCCGAGACTAAACACAGACTGATTCTTATCCTTATTTTTTAATATCTTTCAGATTTTTTAATTATTGCCAAAAATTTTATGATTGAAGAAGATAACAGAAACACAACTAATTGAGAAGCTTCTCTGGGTACTTTGGGCCTCTTAGAGTGGGGTGCTAGGTTTAGAAGTCTGATCGTATTTCATAAGACTTAGTGTGTATAGTGAATTTGAACAGAGCACTGTGTCTTACATACCCTGGTAGAATACCTACATAACTACTCACTCAGTTTACAAATGCTTGTGTCATTATGAAGTGTCAGTCACCATAAAAGAAAGGAAGGAATTTATGACAGGACTAGTCATAAATTTGAGTTGGAAGTATAGAGAAAATAAGGGTGTCATTTATAAGAGTAGAACAGGTATGATAAGGATGGCTTTGAGGGATCTGTGGGGATCACTCCCGTGTGAGGCCCCTGGGAAATGGGCCTCGCCATACAGTGAGCTTGAGCCCGGACACAGATCCCCGGTTGGGGGTGTCGAGCTGAGGGAAAGCAGCAACCGAGAGAGGGACTATGCTATTCAAAATAATTAACAGACATTACTTTATGGATATGAGGACTTGGGAGGCATTGTGTCCACTTTTGGCTCCTTATGGTTTATTGCTTGTGTTCATTTTGGACCCTTGTTACCTTCATTGTAAAATATTAACTTAAGTATTTACACTTGGTAACTTACTTACCATAACTTACTGGGTGTAACTGTAACTTACTTACCATAACTTACTGGGAGTAACTGTAACTTACTTACCGTAACTTACTGGGCGTAACTCAGTTACTGGGCTTAACTTACTTAGTGGGCATAACTTACTTACTGTAACTTAAGTATGTTGATCTGGCGTAAACAACATTAACTTCAGAAAAGTATATAATGGATCATATTGCAAAAATAAAATTGCTGCTTGGACATAACCTAAGCCAGCCCTCCAGACTCGCTTTTCTCTTTTCTTTCACTTCCACGCACTCTCTCCCTCAGGTTGAACGAGACATCTACGTTGGCGGTCTAGGGGACTCCCACAGGTCGGTAGCCCCCCGGCAGACGTGCCGGACCCCAACATGGCTTGCTAAAGCAAAGTTCTATTTGGGGCATGTTATCTTTAAGATGATTATTAGCTATGCAAATAGATGTTTGGAGCTCAGAGGAGGAGTCTGAGCCAGGGATTTGAATTTGGGAGTCGTTAGCCCATGTGTGTACCAGTCAGCTATTGCTCCAATGTGCTGCATAACAAATGATCACAAAAATCCCAGAGGCAAAACATCAAGTATTTATTTAGCTCACAGATCTGGAAGTTGATCTGCATTGGGCTCCACTGAGCCATTTAGCTACTCTTGTGTCTGTAGTAGTGCCAGAAGTGCTAAAATGAGCAAACCCAACTACACAAGCATGTTTAAAGCCTCTGTTCATATTTTACTGGTTAACATTCCATTGCCCAAAACAAGTCACATAGCAAAGGGTATGAAAACGAACAAGGAAATGGGCCATTAATTTTCTAGAATCTGGTAGTGAAAGTCAAGGTACTTGGACCATGAGATGAAACCACCTTCTGAAGGAGAAAGAAAAAAAAGACATATTGAAAGAAAGGTTACAGCCAGGCATGGTGGCTTACACCTGTAATCCTAGCATTTTGGGAGGCCAAGGTGGGCAGATCACTTGAGCCTAGAAGTTCGAGACCAGCCTGGGCAACATAGCAAAACTCTGTCTCTAAAAAAAATACCAAAAAAAAAAAAAAAGTTGGGTATGGTGGTGATGCTTGTAGTCATAACTATTCAAGAAGCTGAGGTGATGGTCACTTGAGCCCAAGAGGTCAAGGCTGCAGTGAGCTGTGATTTTATACAGGTTTTCAGGATAATTTCCAACTTTTATGAAACAGTAGAAACCTGATACAAAACAGACAAGCATGATAAAAGAAATTGGCCGGGCACGGAGGCTCACGCCTGTAATCCCAACACTTTGGGAGGCCGAGGCAGACAGATTATGAGGTCAGGAGTTCCAGACCAGCCTGACCAACATGGTGAAATGCTGTCTCTACTAAAAATACAAAAATTAGCTGGGCATGGTGGTACACATCTGCAATCCCAGCTACTTAGGAAGCTGAGGCAGAATTATTTGAACTCGGGAGGTGGAAGCTGCAGTAAGCCAAGATCGCGCCACTGTACTCCAGCCTGGGTGACAGAGTAAGACTCCGTCTCAAAAAAAAAAAAAAAAAAAAAAGGAAAAGAAAAAAAAGAAAGAAATCACAGGACAAACCTGTCCTCAACATAGACATAGAAATACTTTTTTTAAAGTAACATATTGAATCTAGCAAAAATGAAAAGGCGAATAAACCATATCCAAGTGTGGTTTATTTCAGTAATAGATGTTATTTTACCATATGAAAATAAAATAATATATAATTCACCTTATTAAGAGATTTGGGCTGGGCGTGGTGGCTCAAGCCTGTAATCCCAGCACTTTGGGAGGCTGAGGCGGGTGGATCAAGAGGTCAAGAGATCGAGACCATCCTGGTCAACATGGTGAAACCCCGTCTCTACTAAAAATACAAAAATAGCTGGGCATGGTGGCGCGTGTCTGTAATCCCCGCTACTCAGGAGGCTGAGGCAGGAGAATTGCCTGAACCCAGGAGGTGGAGGTTGCGGTGAGCCAAGATCGCGCCATTGCACTCCAGCCTGGGTAACAAGAACAAAACTCCGTCTCAAAAAAAAAAAAAAAAAAGAGAGAGAGAGATTTAAGACCTCTCAGGGATGACAAGGATTTCTCAAAGACCCTGATACATGCAGAGAAGGCACTAGATAAAATCTAATGTCTACTCAAGATTTTTGCAAAACAATCTTGACAATCCAAGAATAAAACAGAACTCTCTTAATTTGATAAGGTTATTTATAAAAAAAAAAACTTCTAGGTAGTATCATACTTTCTTTTTTTTTTTTGAGACGGAGTTTTGCTGTTGTTACCCAGACTGGAGTGCAATGGCACGATCTCAGGTCACCACAACCTCCACCTTCTGGGTTCAAGCAAGTCTCCTGCCTCAGCCTCCCAAGTAGCTGGGACTACAGGAGTGCACCACCATGCCCAGCTAATTTTTGTATTTTTAGTAGAGACAGCGTTTCACCTTGTTAACCAGGATGGTCTTGATCTCTTGACCTCATGATCCACCCGCCTTAGCCTCCCAAAGTGCTGGGATTATAGGTGTGAACCACCACGCCCAGCCTCGTAGTATCATACTTAATGGTGAAATATTAAACACGTTTCCCTAAGTTCAGAAACAAGGCAAAGATAGTCATTTTCATCATTTCTAATCATTACTCTAAAGAAATAAAGCAAGAAAAATAAACAAAAAACAAAGTTTAGAAATTAAGTAAAACTTTCTTTTATTGGTATTAACAGGATTATATATATAAAAAAATCCAAAATAATCCACAAAGTATTTGAATAAATAATTGGATTTATAAATGTCACCAGCTATAAAGTCAATATACAAAAAGATACTGCAATTCTATGTACTAGCCAAAAATATTGAAAAACAAATTTAAAATATTTACAAAGTAACATATTCCACATACCTAGAAATAAATTAAACAAATCAAGACTTCTACAATTAAAACTTTAAAACACTGTTGAGAAAAGTTAAAGACAACCTAGGTAAATGAACAATTATACCACATTCATTAATTGGAAAACTCAATATTGTAAAGATGTCAATTATCCTTAGGTTGTTTTATAAAGTTAATGCAATCACAAGCACAGTACCAAAAAATTTATTTCTGAAAATTAATCCTGAGATTGCAAAATTAATTTAGAAAATATGGGAACACAGAAGGCAAGACAATCTTAAAGAATAAAAAAGCTAGAAGGCTCTCACTACCAGATTTCAAAAAATATTACAAAGCAACATAAATTAAGATAGTACGGTAATGGTGCGAGGAAAGACAAATGAACCAAGGGGCAGAGATTGCCTAAGCAGAGGGGAAAAGTATAGTTTCTTTGATAAATCATATACATACACCTTGATCCTACCTCATGCACTACAAAAAAATTATTGAAAGTAGATCACAGATCTAAATAAAAACAATAAAGAATATAGAAGAAGACATAGGAGAATAGATTCATTATCTTGGTCCAGGCAAATAATTCTTAATCAAGTGTCAGATCTCAAGTTGATATTTATGCTCATTAAAGACTGAGCAGTAATCTTTAGTGATCTAAAGACATGTTAACAGATCACATTCGACTTTTCTAAAATGCCATCTAGGAACCCCTAGCAGAGTTCCCAGATTTCACAGTTCCCACCTCCTGCTAAAACCAGCATGATAGCTAACAATATTACCACTCTTTTTAGGTCCTACCTGCCCACTGCTGCCTCCTCCCCTCTCCACGTGTCAAAACTGCCAGAACTCTGATTCAGTCAGTGTAGACTCTAACCCAGTATCTGGATAAGCATGGGCACTAACCCTAAACAAATGAGAGTATTACACTCCCCAGGCCAGTGACTAGAGTACAGCAAGCAAGGGAGCCAGTCAGAGCCAACCAGATTCAATTCTGATAATCATATTGGAGCTGTTCAAAAAAACAATCACTCTTTTCTCCCTGAGACTTCAAGCTGGGAAAAAAGCAGCCAGAGTTTCTGGGGCCTGCTATGAAGAGACAACCTGCTTGGAACAAAAGCTAATGCAACAGGATACACAGCCAAGACAGGAAGACAGAATTCAAATAGATAACATTTTTTTTAGTCCCAGGATTTAGCCATGTCTGAAGCTTGTTACACCCAAGGACTTTTTAGTAATAAATTATTTAAGCCAACAAATTCCCTTTAAAGAGTGAAAAGACAAGATGGAGACTGGGAAACGTTATCTGTAATATATGTATATATAATATACATATTTTATGTATATATGTAATATATAATACATGGTTTATACACATGTATGCATGTGTACCTAGATATAGATACACATATATACAATAAAGGACACGTAACCAGAAGAAAACCCTTCAACTTTTCTTTTGAAAAAAGAACCATAAATCAGTGAAATGTTTCAACAGGTGTCCTCACAAAAAAAAATCCAAATAGCCAATAAGCACACTGAAAAGTACTCAGAATCATTACACATGAGGTAAACGCATGCTCTGCTGAATGACTACAATCAGAAAGTGCTGGCCAGGTGTGTGAAACAACTGCAACTTTCACACAGTGTTTTGGGGATTCTTGGTGGAACCAGTATTTTTCTGAAAACTGGAATACCTACCAAAACGAAACTGAAAGTCTGCCCTGTGATCAGTAAATTCATTCCTGCACATACAGCACACAGCAAGATTAATAAGCCCGTACATCTATCAAAAGAGCAATTAAAAGTCAACTGCACATTTGGTTGAGCAAAAGAAGCCAAAACACATACCTGTACATATTATATTTTCACATTTAGATGAAAACCAAGAACAAATACACCAAGTCAATTATAATAAGAGTCAAAATTGTGGTTGCCCTATGGAGTAATTAGTCACTGAGAAAGAGGATAAAGGAATTTCCTAACGTCCTGGAAATGTTCTCTGTTTACTAGGATGTACACATACATGAAATTTCAGCAAGCTGTACATTGAAGATTAGCATACTTCATGCATGTTAGTGTATGTATAACATAATAAAATAAAAAGTGATTAAGGGGAAGTAGTAGAATAATACTTTTAAAGGGAAACTATAATAGTAGTAGAGTTATACTTTTTTTTTTTTTTGAGATGGAGTTTCACTCTTGCTACCCAGGCTGGAGTGCAATGGCGTGATCTCGGCTCACCACAACCTCCGCCTCCTGGGTTCAGGCAATTCTCCTGCCTCAGCCTCCCGAGTAGCTGGGATTACAGGCACGCACCACCATGCCCAGCTAATATTTTTAGTAGAGACGGGGTTTCACCATGTTGACCAGGATGGTCTCGATCTCTTGACCTCGTGATCCACCCGTCTCGGCCTCCCAAAGTGCTGGGATTACAGGCGTGAGCCACCACGCCCAGCCAGAGTTATACTTTTAAAAGGAAAATATAATACTATAGCTAAAAGTGCCTGAAGCAATTCATGTTCTTACATTAAGGAAAAAAAGCAGTAAAATCTTTTCTGTTTGAAGGAAGTATAAATCTTCCTCCATTAAAACGGGATGACACCCTATGGATGCTTACCTCAATTACCAAGGGTAACTCCTCTCACTCTCCACAGCTCTTACTTTTGAGACTTGCAAAAATATCTTTCCCCATGAATAGGGTGACATGATGCAATTGGACTGTGTAAGACAGACTGCAACATAAGCAAAATGGCAATCCCAGAGCTTGCCTGAAAATCCAAGAAGCTGTATATGGTGATAGCTGCAGAGCTGCTGCCTCAGAGGACGCTGAAGTCAAGCAAGCATTTCATGTTCAGTGTTTTGTTGTGTTTTGAGAACAAAACACTCTGTCACTCAGGCTAGAGTGCAGTGGCATGATCATAGTTCACTGCTGCTTCAAACTCCTGGGCTCAAGTGATCCTCCTGCCTCAGCCTCCTGAGTAGCTGGGACTACAGGTATACACCATCACACCCAGCTATCAAATTCAGTTTTGAGCAAATATTGATCAATGAGTCCGACAATCAGAAAAATGAGCTGAAAACTAGGTCACCAGGCCTTGATACCTCTGTCTCCGTCTGATGACCCACTGAACATAGCATAATGGCTTTTTCTTCCTTTATACCTTCCACATCTCATATGAACTCTTTAGACAAGTCTAACACAACTGGAGAAAAAAAGTGATTCTGGGAAATGTAGTTAATGTAACACATTTTTTTTTTTTTTGAGACGGAGTTTTCGCTGTTGCTACCCAGACTGGAGTGCAATGGCACTATCTTGGTTCACCACAACCTCCACCTTCTGGGTTCAAGCAATTCTCCTGCCTCAGCCTCCTGAGTAGCTGGGACTACAGGCGTGCACCACCATGCCCAGCTAATTTTTGTATTTTTGGTAGGGACGGGGTTTCACCTTATTGACCAGGATGGTCTCGATCTCTTGACCTTATACAAGATCCACCCACCTCGGCCTCCCAAAGTGCTGGGATTACAGGCGTGAGCCACCGCGCCCGGCCATGTAACACAATTTTTATACTCAAACACTGGATCCAATTCCCAGCCATGAGCAAGGACAAAGAACAAAATACAAAAATTAATTAATTTATATTCATTTTTTTTTTTTGAGATGGAGTTTCTCTCGTTACCCAGGCTGGAGTACAATGGCGCGATCTCGGCTCATGGCAACTTCTGCCTCCTGGGTTCAGGCAATTCTCCTGCCTCAGCCTCCTGAGTAGCTGGGATTACAGGCATGTGCCACCATGTCCAGCTAATTTGTTTTGTATTTTTAGTGGAGACGGGGTTTCACCATGTTGACCAGGATGGTCTCAATCTCTTGACCTCGTGATCCACCCGCCTTGGCCTCCCAAAGTGCTGGGATTACAGGCATGAGCCACCATGCCCGGCCCTATATTAATTAATTTTTAAATTAATTTCTGCTGAATTACTCACCAGACAAGAAAGGTGTTTAATAGTAAAAATTGATCCTCTCAAAACCTTAAGGCTCTTAGCAAGAAAGAACAAGAAAAATACTGAGTGGGCAATTTTCATTGTCTGCCATGCACACTAAAAGCAAAATACCAACAAAAACCAAAGTGTCAATATTATAATAACTACCCACTTAAAGAACAATGAACATTAATTAGAAATCACTTTTTAAAAAAAGACCACTTGTGCCTATTCAGAAAAAATATTTCATATCCTCCATGGATCCAAAAGACTTTATAATGGAAATTATATTTATATCAGAACCAAAATTAAAGCACCTCATAATAAAAAGTATGTGGCTAGAACTGAAAAGGTAAATTTATCACCTTAAATGTTCCTATCAAAAAACACTGGTAATCGACGAGCCAGTAGTTCACTTTAAGGATGAGGCAGTGATCTTCATTTCTAGTATGAATTTTCTTATACATAATAAGTGATGTTCATAAAGGCTTTAGCACATGATTTTCATAGACAGGGTTTCTCTAAGGTTTCTCAAATCTTCAAAACAATAAGCAACAATTTCCTACTTTCTTACATTCATAGGTTGTCTCCACAGTATGAGACCTCACAAGTTGCCTAGGATCTGAAGCTCTGCAGACATTCCCATATTCCTTACATCTGTATGTTTTCTCTAGTGTGAGTTTTCACATGTCTTCGAAAGTAGGCAGGACAAACAAAGGCTTTCCCACATTCCTTACATTCATAGGGTTTCTCTCCAGTGTGGCTTCTCACGTGTCTTCGAAAGGATGAGGGACAACTGAAGGCTTTCCCACATTCCAGACATTCAAAGGGTTTCTCTCCAGTGTGCATTCTTGCATGTACAGTAAGGTATGAAGAATGACGAAATGCTTTCCCACATTCCTTACATTCATAGGGCTTTTCCCCAGTGTGCGTTCTCATATGGATCCTAAGGGCTGAGGGATAAATAAAGGCTTTCCCACATTTCTTACATTCATAAGGTTTCTCTCCAGTGTGAGTCCTGACATGTACTGTAAGGTGGGAGGAACTAATGAAGGCTTTCCCACATTCCTTACATTCATACGGCTTCTCTCCACTGTGAGTTCTTAAGTGTTCAGTGAGGGACGAGGAACGACTAAAGGTCTTCCCACACTCCTTACATTCATACTGTATCTTTCCAGTGTGATCTCTCACATGTGCCCTAAAGGATGAGGGACAACTAAAGGCCTTCCCACATTCCTTACATTCGTAGGGCTTCTCTCGACTTTGATTTTTCACATGTGTATTAAGGGAAGTGGGAAGATAGAAGGCCTTTCCACATTCCAGACATTCATAGGGTTTTTCTCCAGTGTGTTTTCTCATATGGATACTCAAGGAGGAGGGACAATTGTAGGCTTTCCCACATTCCTTACATTTGTAGGGTTTCTCTCCGGTATGTGTCCTCACATGTACAGTGAGTTTTGAGGACTCGCTGAAGGCCTTCCCACACTCTTTACATTCATACGGCTTCTCTCCAGTGTGAATTCTTATATGTATTATAAGGTGAGAGGAAGAACTGAAGGCCTTCCCACATTCCTTGCATTCATATGGCTTATCTCCGCTATGAATCCTTTTGTGTTTGGAGAGTGAGGAGGAACAACTGAAGGCCTTCCCACATTCCTTACATTCGTAAGGCTTATCTCCACTATGAATCCTTTTGTGTTCTGTAAGTGATGAGGAACAACTGAAAGCTTTTCCACATTCCTTACATTCATAGTTCGTCTTTCCCACGTGAAGCTTCATATGTGCCCTAAAGAATGAGGAACAACTGAAGACTTTGGTACATTCCTTACATTCATAGGGCTTCTCTTCAGTGGGGGTTTTCATATGCTTCTTAAAACAAGCAAGAAAATGGAAGGCCTTCCCACATTCCTTGCACTGATAGGGTTTGCTTCCAGTATGAGACCTGATGTGATTCTTAAGGGACGAATGATCCACGAAGGCCTTTCCATACTCGTGGCATTCACAGGATTTTACTTCAGTCGTTCTCTTGAGTGAATCAAGATTTGGAACTTGGCTGAAAGTCTGTCCATGTTGATTTTCTTCACTACATTCATAGATGTTCTCTACCATAGGATTTCTTTTAAAAATAAAAGACATATTATTAGTAATAAATTTTTACCAATTTCAGTGAATGTGTATGTTTTCTGGCCTTCTGTCAAGTTATAAATTGAAAGTTCTCACGGAGGGCTCTACCACAGTCAATACTGTCCCCACGTTTTTGACTCACAGATTTTTCTGATAATTGTTTACAAGTGAAATATGTGTCAAACATTCAAAATCTCAGTTTCATTTGCAGAAAAAATTAACTCATGAAAATTCTCAGCCAGGTGCAGTGGCTCACACCTGTAATCCCAGCACTTTTGGAGGCGAGTGGGTGGATCACAAGGTCAGCAGTTCAAGATCAGCCTGGCCAAGATGATGAAACCCCATCTCTACTAAGAATACAAAAATTAGCTGGGTGTGGCAGTGCATGCCTGTACTCCCAGCTACTCAGAGGCTGAGGCAGAAGAATTGCTTGAACCCGGGCAGCAGAGGTTGCAGTGAGCTGAGATCATGCCACTGCACTCCAGCCTGGGTGACAGAGCAAGACTCCATCTCAAAAAAAAGAAAAAAAAAATTCTCAAATCACAATCTTTGATCCAGGCTTATTTATATATATATATTTCTTAAATTTCATAATATTATAAGATTCTCTCCTGAGGCCCTACTTTCTCATGTATGGCACTCACCTCAAATGCCTCTCATGGCTTTTGTTCTGATAATCAATACCACAGGATTCCTGGTTTTCATGTAAACTGGAGAACCCGTAATCATTCCTTTTGAATCTTACTATTTTCTGTTCATTGGATATTTTTTCTCCACAAATATCTGGTGGGGCAACTGATTCATTAGTTTTAAGCTGAGTCTCAAAACCTGAAACAAAAAAAGTAAAAGCTTCTGTGAACAAAGGACTTTTAGCAGAGTGGCTATTTCAGGACTTTGGTACTGACAGATGCAAGGGTCAAAATGGTAAACAATTAACTAAGAAATAATTATATAAAGATTGAGACAAACATAACTAGAATAGTATTAGGAGAACAAAACAAAAATTGGACAAAATGCACATGACCAGGCTGGGCGCGATGGGTCATGCCTGTAATCCCAGCACTTTGGGAGGCCGAGAGACAGGTGGATCATGAGAAAAGGAGATCGAGACCATCCTGGCCAACATGATAAGACCCTGTCTCTACTAAAATATAAAAAATTAGCTGGACATGGTGGGGCACACCTATAGTCCCAGCTACTCAGGAGGCTGAGGCAGGGGAATCAATTGAACTCAAGAGGCAGAGACTGCAGTGAGCCAAGATTGCTCCACTGCACTCTAGCCTGGCAACAGAGCAAGATTCCATCTCAAAAAAAAAAAAAAGAACCATATGACTGAATACTAACTTACAAAGAGGAAATATGGAAGGTCTTTGCCAAGAACAAGGAAAATGTGAGAGGACTGACAAAAAGTCAAAACAGTCATATGAGATATCTGTGGAAGATGAGCTTCCTCATATAAAACAAAGTTTATTTTTGTTTTTGATTTTCTTTTAAGTTGATTTTCTTCCCCCAACCAAAACAGTTTCTCTCAAGGGTTCTTGCCTTCCTGGTGCTCTCTCACACAGATGCCCTGGATAAGTTCTCTCTTCACTGTCTGCAGGTCCTCCTCTTGTTCCCACTGGGAGATCAGATGGGGTGTGTGTAGCAGATACCCTGCACAAGCAGAAAGTCATATCATGAGGGAAAATGATGAAGAATCACAAACATTTCCGTAAGACAGAAACAAAACTTCAGTCTTCTGATATTCCAAAAATGGACAACTGTGAGTTTAACTACAACAAAATGTCAAATTTATTATTTTTTTTAAAAAAAAGGAGAGGTGGCAGGAGGAAACAGCCTCTGACATACAGAACTGATCTAATGTTCACATCTAAACCTCAATATCATTACAACCTGGTCAGACAGTCACACCCAGGATATTTTGTTCACCTACTGAATATAAATAATCTTGCAGAATACTAATCTTGAATAAAGTTACTATGAAATTATGATAAAATGAAACAAAACAAGGTTACCTTTTAATTTTTTCTAAAGACTTTATGCCACCCACATATACTCAGTAATAGAGCATAACTGAATAATACTATCAGCAACCAGCAATACAATCCACTTTGTCAGCAACCAATCTAAAGTGACTGCCTGTGTCACTATGCTGAACAATGTCCCCTCAAAATTCATGTTCAAATGGATCAATGGAAAAGCACAGAAGGCTCAGAAACAAAGCCACACCAATACAGTCAACTGACCTTGACAAAGTAGCAAAGGCAATTCAATGGAGAAAAGATAGTCTTTCCCACAAATGGTACCGAAACAACTGAACATCCACATGCAAAATATAAATCTAGACACAGACCTTAGACTCTTCACAAAAATTAACTCAAAATGGGTCACAGACCTCACTGTAAAAAGCAAAGCTAGAAAACTCCTAGAAGATAACAGGAGAAAAATCTAGATGACCTTCTGTTTGGCAATGACATTTTTTATTTTTTTTATTTTTTTTAAGAGCCATGGTCTCACTTTATCACCCAGGCTGTAGTAGTGGTGTGATCATAGCTCATTCCAGCCTCAAATTCCTAGACTCAAGTGATCCTCCAGCCTCTACCTCCCAAGTAACTGGAACTACCAGTTCCACCACATCCTGGCACTGACATTTTAGATATAATGCTATAAGCATGATCCATAGAACAAAGAATAAGCTGAACTTAATTAACATTTAAAATTTCTGGGCCAGGTGCGATGGCTTATGCCTGTAATCCCAGCACTTTGGGAAGTCAAGGCAGGTGGATCATCTGAGGTCAGGAATTCAAGACCAGACTGGCCAACAAGGAAAAACCCCCTCTCTACTAAAAATAGAAAATTAGCTGGGCATTGTGGCACATGCCTATAATCACAGCTACTAGGGAGGCTGAGACAGGAGAAGAATCTCTTGAACCCGGGAGGTGGAGGTTGCAGTAAGCTGAGATCATGCCATTGCACTCCAGCCTGGGCAACAAGAGCAAAACTCCATCTCAAAAAAAAAAAATCTTCCCTGTGAAAGACAATGTCAAGAGAATAGAAATATAAGCCACAGCCTGGGAGAAAATATTTGCAAAATATATATCTGAGAAGGAACTGTTATCAAAAATATATAAAGACTGTAGCAGATATCATACAGAAAAAAAAATATTCAAAGAACTCTAAAAACTCGACAGTGTTAAAAAAAAAAAAAGAACAAAAAATGAGCCAAAGACCTTTAGAGATACCTGATACCTCACCAAAGAACATATACAGATGGCAAATAGCATATGAAAAGATGCTCAATATCATAAGTCATCAGGGAAATGCAAATTAAAACAAGGCACCACTATACACGTATTAGAATGGCCAAAATCCTGAACATTCACAACCACAAATGCTGGTGAGGATGAGGAGCAACAGGAGCTCTCATTCATTGCTGGCTGGAATGCAAGATGGTATGGCCACTTTGGAAGACAGTTTTGTACTTTCTTATAAAATTAAACACCCTCTTACCATAAAATCCAGCAACTGGATTGCACTCCTTTTACCCAAAGGAGTTGAAAACTTACGTCCACATAAAAACCTGCACACCAATGTTCATAGTAGCTTTATTTATAATTGCCAAAACATGTAAGCAACCAAGAAGTCCTTCAGTAGGTAAATGGATAAACTGTAGTACATCTAGACAATAGAATATTAGTCAGCACTGCAAAAAAAAGAGCTTCCAAGCCATAAAAAGGCATGGAAGAATCTTAAATGTATATTGCTAAGTGAAAGAAACCAATCTGAAAAGGCTATGTACTGCATGATTCCAACTATATGACATTTTGCAAAAGGCAACAACATTAGGAGACTGTAAAAAGATCAGTGGTCACCAAGATTTTAGAGAAAGGGAAGGAGGGATGAATTGATAGAGCACAGAGGATTTTTATAGCAGTGCAACTATTTTGTGTGATATTATAATAGTGGATACATGTCATTATATATTCTTCTAAACCCATAGAATGTACAATATCAAGAGTGAACCCTAATGTAAATTATGGACTCTGGGCAACAATGATGTATCAATGTAGCTTCAACAGTTATAACACATTTATCACTCTGGTGGAGGATGTTGTTATTAGAAAAGGCTATACATGTAGAGAGCCAAGGGCTATATGGGAAATCTCTGTATCTTCTACCCAATTCAGCTGTGAACCTAAAACTTCTCTAAAACTAAAAATAAAGCCTACTTAAAAAAAAAAAAAAAGTCCACCCAGAACCTCAGAATGTTACCTTATTTAGAAATAGGGTCTTTATAGATATAATCAAGTTAACACAAGGTTATACTAGATTAAGGCGGGCCCTAAATCCAACAGCTGGTGTCCTTATAAGGAGAAAGAGACTTAGAAAGACACACAGGAAGAACACGAAGGCAGAGATTGGAATGATGCATCTGTAAATCAAGGAATGCCAATGATTGCCAGCAATCCCCAGAAGCCAGGAAGAGAAAAGGCAGTCTTTCCCCCAGAGCCTTCAGAAAAAACACGGCCCTGCTGATCCCTTGATTTCAGATACCCAGCCTCCAGAAACACTGCGAAGGAAAAAACATCTGTTGTTTTTAGCCACCAGTGTGTGATGCTCTGTTACAGAAGGTCTAGGAAACTAACACAGCCTGCTTCCACTGACCTATCCCCAAATCACTCAACTGAAGCACAAATCCTGTAACAGGTTCTTTCTAACACATGTATTCTCCCTTGCTGCACTGCAAAATAAACCCAACTTATTTAATTATAGGTGTGTTCTGGTAGTCATTGGGTAAAGGGCATAGATAGCAGTAAAATCCTCAAAATGTCAAACCTCCTTTCTGTGTCCCATAGTAATTGCTGAGGTTTACATCCATACTTTCAATACTTAATAAGCCTCAAGACTTTCAACCACACAAAAAAAGAAAGCATCAGCTTAATATACAGATGTTTCTTTTCTTTTTTTTTTTTTTTTTTGACGGAGTTTCACTCTTATTGCACAGGCTGGAGTGCAATGGCACAATCTAGGCTCATTGCAACCTCCACCTCCCAGGTTCAAGCAATTCTCCTGCCTCAGCCTCCCGAGTAGCTGGGATTACAGGCATACACTACCACGCTCAGCTAATTTTGTACTTTTAGTAGAGATGGGGTTTCTCCATGTTGGTGAGGCTGGTCTGGAACTCCCAACCTCAGATGATCCGCCTGCCTCAGCCTCCCAAAGTGCTGGGATTACAGAAGTGAGCCACCGCACCCAGCCCAAATGTTTATTTTCATAGCGAAGCCATGAAAATATTTCACCATATTGCCCAGGCTGGTCTCAAACTCCTGACTTCGTGATCCACCCACCTCAGCCTCCCAAAGTGCTGGGATTACAGGCGTGAGCCACCAGGTGCACCAGGCCTAAAATCACTTTCTAAACAACTACATGAAAAAATCTTGCCATTCTTACCTAGCGAGGCCAGGTTCTGGAAGTTTTCCAGCATCACATCTCTGTAGAGGTTCCTCTGAGCAAGATCCAGCAAAGCCCATTCCTCCTGGGTAAAGTCCACAGCCACATCCTGAAAGACTACTGAGTCCTAAAATATACCATAAATTCTGTTCAGAAAGGTACAATTCCTCCAATGTGTACAAGAGGACGGATGAGGCTGACAACATTGAGGAAATGAGAGCCAATTCATAGGAAATTCGGGAGATCTCAGCATCTACTCTAGGACTCAGTCAACAAATCTCTCTTTCTATCTACACATAATTCATCACTGATCAAATCCTGTCTTACAGATTTAACACTTCTAAAACACTAAATTGCCAGGCAAATTGGGTCACACCTGTAATCCCAGCACTTTTGGGGACCGAAGCAGGAGGACTACTGGCCCAGGAGTTCAAGGCCAGCCTAGGCAACGTAACATAGTGAGACTCAGTCTCTGCCAAAATTGAAAAGTACATATGGCCAGGTGTGGTAGCGCGTGCCTGTGGTGGCTTAGGTGGGAGGTTCGTTGAGCCACAAGGTTGAGGCTACAGTGAGCATGACCATGCCACTGTACTCTAGCCTGAACAAAGACAACAAAAAAACACTAAATTTATCTCCCTACAAATTGATGGTAATGAGATGGGGAAAAGCAGCATTTTTCCTACCCTCTTACATAGTCACTCAGTACCGTACAGAACATTTCTGACACTAGATGTGTGGGGGATATTTTCCATACCCACCAAGCAATTCCCCAGTGGACACCTGCTGGCTATCCTATAATTCACTTCTGATATGATCTACCTGGACATCCCACAGGTTGAGGGCTTGGTCCCACTTAACTGCCTCCCACTTCAGATGCCAACCCCAAGTTAACAGGTTGTCAACTATACTTCTGACTGGCTAAAATCAGGGCTCCTACTACCCTCTCCTTGAGTTCGATTCATTTGCTGGAACAATTCACAGAACTCATGGAATTACGTTTATTGGTTTGTCAGCAAGTATATTACAAAGTATACAGCTAAAACAGCCAGAAGAAGAGATGGACAGGCCAACGTATAGTGGGAAGGGGTGCAGAAATTCCATGCCCTCTCCTGGCATGCCACCCTCCAGGAACCACCACACGTTCGGCTATCCACAAGCTCCTCAAGCCAGTCCTTTGGGTTTTTAAGGAGGCTTCATCACATGGTTGTATAAGTCCCAATCCTCTGACCTTGCCTGGGTCTGTCTGAACCAGCCCCCATCTTGAGGCTCTCCAGGGGCTTCCAGACACCAACCATCTCATTAGCACACAGAAGACCCTCTTATTGCTCCAGAGATTACAAGGGTTTTTAGGAACTCTGTGCCAGGAAACAGGATGAAAGCCAAACACATATTTCACAGTATCACAGAGGGTGACCAATGCCAGTCTTACAATGGCCTAGAAAAGTACAGAGCATATTGAAGAAATGAGAGAAATGCTCTGGAAATGAAATAATTTCCACACTGACATCATCAATTCCTTATTACAGAAATAACTTCACCTGTTACTTTATTCCCACCATAGCAATCACTACAACATTAAACACAGGGTCAAAAGTAGATGGGGTTTTAATGAATAAAAATACACTGAGAGAATAGAAGCTTTTCACTTTTTCCCCCTCTCACAAACCTGAGAGGCCCAGGAGCTGCACAAGCACAACTTTCAAGACAGACCCACAGCTGGTTATACTTCCTTGTCTTCTAGACCAGGGGTCAGCAAACTATGGCATATGACTACATCCAAGCTGCCACTTGAATGCATAGTTTTATTGGAACACAATAAAACATGTGTTTATGTACTGTCTATGGCTGCTTTTGCACTAAAACGGCAGAGCTGAATTGTAATAGAAACACTACAGCCTTCAGCGCCTAAAACACTATGTGGTCCAATACAGAAACAGATTGCTCCTGACCTGTGCTCTAAAACATGGAAGGAGACCTGGTGCAATGGAAATTTTTTTTTTGACAATTACTATCTTTTACTTACCTGTATCCTATTTTTCTGTAACTCAGCAGTTGTTCTTTCTTCCTCCATGTCACCTGCATGAAGAAAAGCAGGATATTGAGAAGTTAGAAGTAAAGAAGATGACATGAGACTCCAGACCTCCCCAAAATTCCCACTCATGAACCTGGATGTTGCACCCCATCAATTATAAGCAACAACTCCCCTCAAAACACACATACACACACACACACACACACACACAAAACCGAGACACCCAAGCAAATATACACTGCTCTTGTGGGAAAGTGGAACAGCCTTATGTCCCCCTAGAGATAGAAAACAGTGTTCTGGTCCGTGGTGATCATAAAGAAGAGGTTAAGAGTGCTATTTTGTGTGGCCGGGCGCGGTGGCTCACGCCTGTAATCCCAGCACTTTGGGAGGCCGAGGCAAGTGGATCACAAGGTCAAGAGATCGAGACCATCCTGATCAACATGGTGAAACCCCGTCTCTACTTAAAATACAAAAAATTAGCTGGGCATGGTGGCGCATGCCTGTAATCCCAGCTACTCAGGAGGCTGAGGCAGGAGAATTGCCTGAACCCAGGAGGCAGAGGATGCGGAGAGCCGAGATCGCGCCATTGCACTCCAGCCTGGGTAACAAGAGCAAACTCCGTCTAAAAAAAAGAGTGCTAGGCCGGGCGCGGTGGCTCAAGCCTGTAATCCCAGCACTTTGGGAGGCCGAGGCGGGTGGATCACGAGGTCAACAGATGGAGACCATCCTGGTCAACATGGTGAAACCCCGTCTCTACTAAAATTACAAAAAATTAGCTGGGTACGATGGTGCGTGCCTGTAATCCCAGCTGCTCGGGAGGCTGAGGCAGGAGAATTGCCTGAATCCAGGAGGCGGAGGTTGCGGTGAGCCGAGATCGCGCCATTGGACTCCAGCCTGGGTAACAAGAGCGAAACTCCGTCTCAAAAAAAAAAAAAAAAAAAAAAAAAAAAGAGTGCTAATTTGTAAATTAACTAAAGTCTGGAAAAATCTGGCTGTCAATTTGCCCATGATAACAAAAAGTATAAAATGTATTAGGGAGCATCTTCAACAACATGAATATACACACCCTGTCTGAAATTCAAGAAAGCACTGATTTATAGGCCAGGCTTCTGGGAGTTCCACTCCCAGTATTTCTTACTTCTGCACCCCTTGGCTGGCTAACCGACATTACTGCTTAGCCCTAGACCACTGCCCCTGCCCCCATGAGCTGCAGGGTTCCCAAAAACCTTGGTTTCTGACAAAAAGCATCATCAGCCTATTGAATTTCGTATGCAGGAGGCAGAGAAGGCTACTGTGCTGTGATTGATATGCTAAATTTGCCTGCCCAATATAGTAGTATCAGAATAAGAATACTTGGCCTGTATCACCCCTGATGTGGGAGCTGCAGTGCTGTTTCACAAATTTCAGACAAGAAAATGTTAACAGTTGAGTAGCAGCAGCGCCCGGTCCCCTGCGGAAGTTCCCCTAGCGGTGTTGCTTCTCCAGCAGCGGCAGTTCTCGCTACAGCGCCAGGACGAGTCCGGTTCGAGTTCGTCCGCGGAGATCTCTCTCATCTCGCTCGGCTGCGGGAAATCGGGCTGAAGCCACTGAGTCCGCGATGGAGAAAACTTTAGAAACTGTTCCTTTGGAGAGGAAAAAGAGAGAAAAGGAACAGTTCCATAAGCTCTTTATTGGTGGCTTAAGTTTTGAAACCACAGAAGAAAGTTTGAGGAACTACTACGAACAATGGGGAAAGCTTACAGATTGTGTGGTAATGAGGAATCCTGCAAGCAAAAGATCAAGAGGATTTGGTTCTGTAACTTTCTCATCCATGGCTGAGGTTGATGCTCATGGCTGCAAGTTCATTCAATTGATGGGAGAGTCGTTGAGCCAAAATGTGCTGTAGCAAGAGAGGAATCTGGAAAACCAGGGGCTCATGTAACTGTGAAGAAGCTTTTGTTGGTGGAATTAAGGAAGATACTGAGGAACATCACCTTAGAGGTTACTTTGAGGAATATGGAAAAATTGATACCATTGAAATAATTACTGATAGGCAGTCTGAAAAGAAAAGAGCTTTGGCTTTGTTATTTTTGATGACCATGATCCTGTGGATAAAATCGTGATGCAGAAATACCATACCATCAATGGTCATAATGTAGAAGTAAGAAAGGCTTTGTCTAGACAAGAAATGCAGGAAGTTCAAAGTTCTAGGAGTGGAAGAGGAGGCAACTTTGGCTTTGGAGATTCTCGTGGCAGCAGAGGAAATTTCAGACCAGGACCAGGAAGTAACTTTAGAGGAGGATCTGATGGATATGGCAGTGGATGTGGATTTGGGGATGACTACAATGGGTATGGAGGAGGACCCGGAGGTGGCAATTTTGGAGGTAGCCCTGGTTATGGAGGAGGAAGAGGAGGATATTGTGTTGGAGGACCTGGATATGGCAACCAGGCTGGGGGCTACGGAGGTGGTTATGACAGCTATGGAGGAGGAAATTATTGCAGTGGAAATGACAATGATTTTGGAAATTATAACCAGCAACCTTCTAACTACGGTCCAATGAAGAGTGGAAATTTTGGTGGCAGCAGAAACATGGGGGGACCATATGGTGGAGGAAACTATGGTCCAGGAGGCAGTGGAGGAAGTGGGGGTTATGGTGGGAGAAGCCAATATTGAGCTTCTTCCTCTTTGCCATGGGTTTCACTGTATAAATAGGAGAGGATGAGAGCCCAGAGGTAACAGAACAGCTTCAAGTTATCAAAATAACAATGTTAAGGAAACTCTTATCTCAGTCATGCATAAATATGCAGTGATATGGCAAAAGACACCAGAGCAGATGCAGAGAGCCATTTTGTGAATGGATTGGATTATTTAATAACATTACTTTACTGTGGAGGAAGGATTGTATAAAAAAAATGCCTTTGAGACAGTTTCTTAGCTTTTTAATTGTTGTTTCTTTCTAGTGGTCTTTGTAAGAGTGTAGAAGCATTCCTTCTTTGATAATGTTAAATTTTTAAGTTTCAGGTGACACGTGAAACCTTTTTTAAGATTTTTCTCAGCCAGGCGAGGTGGCTCAAGCCTGTAATCCCAGCACTTTGGGAGGCCGAGGCGGGTGGATCACGAGGTCAAGAGATCGAGACCATCCTGGTCAACATGGGAAAACCCCGTCTCTACTAAAAATACAAAAAATTAGCTGGGCATGGTGGCACGTGCCTGTAATCCCAGCTACTCAGGAGACTGAGGCAAGAGAATTGCCTGAACCCAGGAGGTGGAGGTTGCGGTGGGCCAAGATCGCGCCATTGCACTCCAGCCTGGGTAACAAGAGCGAAACTCCGTCTCAAAAAAAAAAAAAAAAAAAATAAATAAATAAATGTAGTACATTATAGGAATAAGGAGACACATAACATATTTATCTTTAGCAAATCAGGACTGGTAATGTGGCAAGGTAGAAGCAGAAAATTAAAATAACTTTCAGATAATGCTGGAAATTCAGAGGGTTTAGTATATCTATTATATATTTGTAAGCATTATCAACTCCCAGAGGAAAAAAAATCAGTATTAATAGGCTAGACTATTGATATATGAGATTGAATAAAGACCAGCATAAAAGTTTAGAAAGAAAATAGAACAAGATAATATTTTTTAAAACATGGTAAACAGAATCAGAAAAGCTAAAAAGCCATCTTTTTTGAAAAGAAAAACTAACGAAACTGACAAACTCAGCTTTTATTTTATTTTATTTTTTATTTAATTTATTATTTGAGACAGACTCTCCTTATGTTACCCAGGTTGATCTCATTTCCTAAGCTCAACTGATCCACCTGCCTTAGCCTCCCACCAGCTGGGAGTACAGAGGTGCACCACTGCAGCCAGCAACAAACTCAGCAATTTTTTTTTCTTTTTTTCTTTTTCAAGGCTGGTCAAGTGAAGCAGTGGGATTGGAGAAGGAACAAAGAAATCTGGAACTGGTTGTAAACACCACTGCACTCGGACCAGCCAAACTCAGCAATTTTAAGAGCAACAGGGCAGAAAAAAAAAAAAAAAAAAAAAAGAATAATCATAATTATAGATACCATAAGAAAAATTTAGAAAAAATTTAAGGAATAAATATGAAAATGCACAGGTAATGAATGAATGTCTAGAAAGTAGTACAACTTTCCAGCAATGATCTAAAACCTAATTACATCCAGTAATCAATGAAAAAAAAATCAGTGGTTTAAAACATGGTCAGGCCAGGTGCAGTGGCTCATGCCTGTAATTCCAGCACTTTGGCAGGCAGACAGCCCGTGACTTCGAGACCTGCCCAGGCAACACTGCGAGACTCCTTTTTACTAAAAAGAAATAGAAAGAAAGGAAAAAAAAAACCCTACAAACACCTACAGCAAACATCCTATTTAATGGTGAAATGATAGAAAAATTCCCTCTGGAATCAAAAACAAGACAAGGATGTAAATTATATGCTATTCTGTAGGACATTGTACTGGAGGTCCTAGCAAGTGCAGTAAAGAAATGAAAACAAATGGAAACTGCAAGGAATAAAAAGGGAAAAGACTGAAACCGACACATGACCAAATTTTCTGTGTGAAATGTAACCAATCTGTAGATAAATGATTCAAATGTATCATTAATGACAAAATGCATCAGTTCATTTTTACTTGAATATAATGTATCAAACTGACGTCCACAGGCAGAGTATAAACTCCAGAGACCAAATACTATCTTTTTTTTTTTTTTCTAGAGACAGGGTCTCGCTCTGTCGCCCAGGCTGGAGGGCAGTGATAGGATCTCAGCTCACTGCAACCTCTGCCTCTCGAGTAGCTGGGAGCACAGGAGCACACTATCACACCTGGCTATTATTTTATTTTATTTTATATTTTTTTTGTATAGAGGGGACCTTGCTATGTTGCCCAGGCTGGTCTCAAACTCCTAGGCTCAAGCGATCCGCCCGCCTCGGCAGCCCAAAGTGCTGGGATTACAGGCGTGAACCACCGCGCCTGGCCCAAACACGATCTAATGCATAAAGAGGGGACAGGAGGGGACCGAGCCGAGGCAAACGTCACCCCGCGCTCACCCGACACGCCGCGATCCACAGATCTGCTCACAGAGAACGAGGCTGAGGCGCTTGTCCTTGAGACCCGAATAGGTAGAGAGCAAAGGATGCTTTCAGAGGCTGATGAACTATGACACTGGTTCTCCAACTCTCGCCTGCATCAGAATCACCCCGATTTCTGGACCCAGACCAGAGTTCCCGATTCCGTGAGTTTGCTACGAGCCGCCGCCGCAGGGGCAGCTGGCCCAGGCTCTCCGAGAAGGCACAGCGGCAGCGGGAGGCCCCAGGCGCGGGGTCCGGGCAGCGAGCGGCTGAGAGGCCGCCCTTAGACCGCCGATCATCAGGCAGAGCCCTACGTCTCCCGCGGACTCGACCAGCGGCAGGCGGGGTGGGGCAGGGCGGGGCAGGGCAGGGCAGGGCAGGGCAGGGCAGGGCAGGGCAGGGCAGGGGAGGAAGCGGATGGAGGAAAAATTTACCTCAGACGCTGGCAGAGGCGCTGATTGACATGGCTGCCGGCTCGCACATGCGCAAACGCGCACTTCGGTTCCCTAGTTCGGCACGCAGACGCTCTTTGGGGCGGGGCCTGAAAGGCGGGACTTGAGGTGAAGGAGGTGGGGCGGGAAAGAACGGGAACTGCTAAGGAGCGTGAAGACTGGTTGTAGCCGCAAGCGGATGAGAAATCCTAGTTTCTTCATTATTGAGAGTAAACAGAAGAAACAGAACCTTGGACTGGGCTTGGTTGACTCTGTGGGCGAGGCGAGACTGGAGCTAGACAGGACCTAGGGGCGTGGCTTTCTAAATACTCCAAGGGGCGTGGCTAAAGGTGGAACCAGATTGGGGGCGGAACTTGGTTGAAATTCCTAGGGAGCGGGGACGAGGGCTAGGGGCGAGGCTTAAGTAACTAGGCCTGGGGCTGGGGCTAAGTTTAGAGCTTCCCAACCAGGTTCTCAGCTACCACGGATACAGGATGCTCATCAATTGGGTTTATACCTATCCTTCATGTTGCTACAGCCCTGTACACAGGACACATATATTTTCAACTCTAATATGAAACAGACTCTCCTTTCCATTCACTCAGTCCTTTTTGGCCTTTTAGTTTTCCCTTTCATTGCTTAATTGATAACTTCTCCTGTAGAGGGAAGCCACTGATAATTATTTAAATCGAAACTTTTACCTGGAAACTTGCTGAATTCTAATAGTTGTCAGGTTTTTATTTGGAACATCAAATATAAATATTTTTATGCATGTTTTCATTGTTTTAATATGTATAACTCATTTTTTTTTTCTTTTTATGAGGCAATACCTCACTCTATCGCCCAGTCTGGAGTGTGCGCACTGCAGCCTTGA